ACACCTCCGAGGCAAGGTCATTCAGACTCTCAGCTGAGAGCCCTTATCTAGACCTGAGCAGGTGGTGACAGCTGGACCCTCACTTCCCATATCCCCTCCTTTGTGTGTGTTACATTGTATGGAAAATCCTGAACTATAAAAGATCCCTTTATCTTAGGTGCAGGGTCCTTGTTGAAGGCCTGCTGTGATGGGCAGAAACTCGGACCCCAGCTAGCGTGAAAAAGAATAAAAGCCTCTTTTGCATTTGCACTGTCATCTTTTCTGTGTCTCCATCAGTTAGACCCATTTCTGGACCCTTACATTGGGGGCTCATCTGGGATAGGTCAGCCTGGTGGTCACCAGATAAGATGCGACAAAGGGAGGCTCTGCATTTTGCCCATGGAAGGAGGATTGATCACCTCCATCTGGTACATGCAAAGGGGGCTATAGAGCCTGTCTCAGACCTGTCTTGCTCTAGAAAGGAGAGTTGGCTGCCTCCATTTAGGACTTGCAGGGGACATTGGAGCCTGTTCTGACCTGTCTTGCTCTAGAAAGGAGAGTTGGCTGCCTCCATTTAGGACTTGCAGGGGACATTGGAGCCTGTTCTCAAACCTATCTGATTCTGGTAGTGAATTCTCCATGGAGGAACCAGGTTAGCCACCCTGGAGGCTCCACCTGAAGTCAAGGGAGATGTCCATGACAACCAGGAGATCAACGAGTGTCCACGTTGGATGCCATTTGGTCTAGCATTTGGTAAGGACCCTATATGGACTGGTGTGAATCCAGTGCATGTGGTAGAACTAACCGGCCGGTGCATGTGGTTATTGCCTGTGCATGTTTCGGAAATCCAGCAGCTGTTGGCAGCAGTGTAAAACCCCTGAGCAATAGCCGTAGTGCACATTCCAGGCCACCAAACTGCCAGGATCCCTCAGACTATTGGCATTAAGCAAGCTGATGAGGCAGCAAAACAAGCCACCACTAAATCTGCAGCTCCCACCCTGACTCTTAACTTGCCAATGCTGGAACTCCCAGGTTTACCTGCATGTCCAGATTATTCCTCAGGAGCCATAAAATGGATGCAAAGAAACTATTGTTCGCCACCCGACCCTACTGGCTGGTGAAGAGACACGGAACATTGTCTAATCCTGCTGGAAATGCTGGGACTCTCTTATGTAACAGATCTCTGTTCGGCTACCCATCTCGGTGTAAGGAAACTGCTCCAGCTCCTGCAGGCGGCACAGCTACAGTTTCCAAACCAAAGAAGACACATTCATCGCCTCATAGACTGCTGCAAAGGGTGCCAGGCTATGAAACCAGGTAAAGGGGGACCACTCCACACAGGTATTTGGGTCTGGGGGAGGGCTCCAGAACAAAGCTGGGAAATTGATTTCACAGAGGTAAAACTGGGAAAATACAGATATAAATATCTCTCCATTCACCTACCCATCTCAGTGTAAGGAAACTGCTCCAGCTCCTGCAGGTGGCACAGCTATAGTTTCCAAACCAAAGAAGACACATTCATCGCCTCATAGACTGCTGCAAAGGGTGCCAGGCTATGAAACCAGGTAAAGGGGGACCACTCCACACAGGTATTTGGGTCTGGGGGAGGGCTCCAGAACAAAGCTGGGAAATTGATTTCACAGAGGTAAAACTGGGAAAATACAGATATAAATATCTCCTAGTTATGGTGGATCCTTTCTCAGGGTGGATAGAGGCTTTTCCAACTAAGCGAGAAATGGCTCAAATAGTTGCTAAAACCCTATTAGAGGAAATTATACCCCAGTATGGACTTCCTGAGATGCTCGGCTTAGACAATGGTCCGGCTTTCATTAGTAGGGCCCTACAGGGACTAGACCAGGCTGTGGGAACAGATTGGAAATTACATTGTGAATACAACCCCCAGAGTTCTGGACAAGTAGAAAGAATGAATAGAACTCTAAAGGAGACCTTATCTAAATCAGCCCTAGATACTGGTGGAGACTGGGTGACTCTCCTACCTTTTGCCCTGTTCCATGGAGTAACCCCATTTGAGATCATGTATGGGGCACTACCCCCCATACGCACTCGTACCCTCCCATCTCTGATACCTGAAGGAACTGTAGATCACAGAACCAGCCTTCAGGTCCTTCAATGGGCTCAAGAAATAATTTGGCCTTTAGTCCAACCACTCCATGAGGCTAAGGGCTCCTTGAACCCAGAACATGGTATAGTCCCAGGAGATTGGGTCTAGGTGAAAAGCCACAGGACATGCTCTTTGGAACCTTGATGGAAAGGACCTTATGTGACTCTTTTGGTTACTCCTACTGCTTTAAAGTTTGATGGAATTGGGCTGTGGATTCCCCATTCGCACGTACGTCGAGCCTCATCACCTGAATACGCATGAGCCTAAAAGTAGTGGACTGTACGCCAACACCCACACAATCCTCTGAAACTCCAGCTGTCCAGATCTTTGGACTAGTCAACATTCCTTCCTCAACGTGATAATGGTAAAGATGCTGGCCATAAGCTTGCTCATTAATGGGGGCACTGTGACAAGCCTACATCAGCTGTGTAAACAGATGTGGGTGCTCACAGATGGAGAGACTGGTAACATTTTAAATTACACTACTCGCACTGGACCATTTAGGCACATGGTGGCCAGACCTTTATTTTGACTTAAGAGACCTTTTTGAGAAAACTTGTACTAAGAAACCCTCTTACCATGTCTTGATGAAAAGAACATTGATGATTGGGGACCAGATCAAGGGGTTCTGGGCCTGTCCAGGTAATCAGAGAGCCAATTACCATACTTGTGGGGGAGCCAAAAGTTTCTGTTGTAAGGCCTGGTCTTGCATCACCTTCAATGATGGTCACAACTCTGATCTGGTACACTTCTCTCTGGGAATTGGGTAACAGAGTCCCTTTGGTTAAAGCAGCTGAGAGCCCTTATCTAGACCTGAGCAGGTGGTGACAGCTGGACCCTCACTTCCCATATCCCCTCCTTTGTGTGTGTTACATTGTATGGAAAATCCTGAACTATAAAAGATCCCTTTATCTTAGGTGCAGGGTCCTTGTTGAAGGCCTGCTGTGATGGGCAGAAACTCGGACCCCAGCTAGCTGGAAAAAGAATAAAAGCCTCTTTTGCATTTGCACTGTCATCTTTTCTGTGTCTCCATCAGTTAGACCCATTTCTGGACCCTTACATTGGGGGCTCATCTGGGATAGGTCAGCCTGGTGGTCACCAGATAAGATGCGACAAAGGGAGGCTCTGCATTTTGCCCATGGAAGGAGGATTGATCACCTCCATCTGGGACATGCAAAGGGGGCTATAGAGCCTGTCTCAGACCTGTCTTGCTCTAGAAAGGAGAGTTGGCTGCCTCCATTTAGGACTTGCAGGGGACATTGGAGCCTGTTCTCAAACCTATCTGATTCTGGTAGTGAATTCTCCATGGAGGAACCAGGTTAGCCACCCTGGAGGCTCCACCTGAAGTCAAGGGAGATGTCCATGACAACCAGGAGATCAACGAGTGTCCACGTTGGATGCCATTTGGTCTAGCATTTGGTAAGGACCCTATATGGACTGGTGTGAATCCAGTGCATGTGGTAGAACTAACCGGCCGGTGCATGTGGTTATTGCCTGTGCATGTTTGTTGGGCTGCAGGAGTGATTATGATTCTGTGTCTCTTTTTGTTGTGGCCTCTATTCCTTTTCTTTCCTGTCATGGGCCAAACCCAAGTAACTCCTAAGAGTTTAATCTTAGATCACTTTTCAGCAGTCCAGGAGAAAACTCACACCTATGGACTAGAGGTAAGGAAAGGTAAGTTTAATACATTTGTTCTTCAAAATGGCCAGCCTTTGATGTGGGTTGGCCGCCATAAAATGGATGCAAAGAAACTATTGTTCGCCACCCGACCCTACTGGCTGGTGAAGAGACACGGAACATTGTCTAATCCTGCTGGAAATGCTGGGACTCTCTTATGTAACAGATCTCTGTTCGGCTACCCATCTCGGTGTAAGGAAACTGCTCCAGCTCCTGCAGGCGGCACAGCTACAGTTTCCAAACCAAAGAAGACACATTCATCGCCTCATAGACTGCTGCAAAGGGTGCCAGGCTATGAAACCAGGTAAAGGGGGACCACTCCACACAGGTATTTGGGTCTGGGGGAGGGCTCCAGAACAAAGCTGGGAAATTGATTTCACAGAGGTAAAACTGGGAAAATACAGATATAAATATCTCCTAGTTATGGTGGATCCTTTCTCAGGGTGGATAGAGGCTTTTCCAACTAAGCGAGAAATGGCTCAAATAGTTGCTAAAACCCTATTAGAGGAAATTATACCCCAGTATGGACTTCCTGAGATGCTCGGCTTAGACAATGGTCCGGCTTTCATTAGTAGGGCCCTACAGGGACTAGACCAGGCTGTGGGAACAGATTGGAAATTACATTGTGAATACAACCCCCAGAGTTCTGGACAAGTAGAAAGAATGAATAGAACTCTAAAGGAGACCTTATCTAAATCAGCCCTAGATACTGGTGGAGACTGGGTGACTCTCCTACCTTTTGCCCTGTTCCATGGAGTAACCCCATTTGAGATCATGTATGGGGCACTACCCCCCATACGCACTCGTACCCTCCCATCTCTGATACCTGAAGGAACTGTAGATCACAGAACCAGCCTTCAGGTCCTTCAATGGGCTCAAGAAATAATTTGGCCTTTAGTCCAACCACTCCATGAGGCTAAGGGCTCCTTGAACCCAGAACATGGTATAGTCCCAGGAGATTGGGTCTAGGTGAAAAGCCACAGGACATGCTCTTTGGAACCTTGATGGAAAGGACCTTATGTGACTCTTTTGGTTACTCCTACTGCTTTAAAGTTTGATGGAATTGGGCTGTGGATTCCCCATTCGCACGTACGTCGAGCCTCATCACCTGAATACGCATGAGCCTAAAAGTAGTGGACTGTACGCCAACACCCACACAATCCTCTGAAACTCCAGCTGTCCAGATCTTTGGACTAGTCAACATTCCTTCCTCAACGTGATAATGGTAAAGATGCTGGCCATAAGCTTGCTCATTAATGGGGGCACTGTGACAAGCCTACATCAGCTGTGTAAACAGATGTGGGTGCTCACAGATGGAGAGACTGGTAACATTTTAAATTACACTACTCGCACTGGACCATTTAGGCACATGGTGGCCAGACCTTTATTTTGACTTAAGAGACCTTTTTGAGAAAACTTGTACTAAGAAACCCTCTTACCATGTCTTGATGAAAAGAACATTGATGATTGGGGACCAGATCAAGGGGTTCTGGGCCTGTCCAGGTAATCAGAGAGCCAATTACCATACTTGTGGGGGAGCCAAAAGTTTCTGTTGTAAGGCCTGGTCTTGCATCACCTTCAATGATGGTCACAACTCTGATCTGGTACACTTCTCTCTGGGAATTGGGTAACAGAGTCCCTTTGGTTAAAGCTAGTTTTACAAACAATGGCAAAAGCCAATCCATATTAAAATGGCAAAATCCAGGTTTCACTTGGGGTATCCAATATTATTCAGGTGGCACTGTCTGGATGGGACCCTATCCGGGTGGACTCCTGATGATTAAATTGTCTATAGAACCTCTGACACAACCAGTAGGCCCTACTGAGGTTCTGCACAAACCTCCTTCTAAGCCAACAACCCTACCCATACATGTGATGACCTGGTAACCCCCTCCACAAACCTCGAGTACAACCACCCATGTCCTTTTTCCTGAGAAACTGTTCCCCACTACGAAATCCCCAACCCTGGGAGTGGACCCACTCCTTGGCTTTGTTCAAGTCGCTTGCCTGGCCCTCAGTCAGTCTAATCCCAATATAACTTCCCCATGCTGGCTATTATGATGTTCACCCTCCTTTTTATGAAGGCATAGGGCTTGATGCCCCCTTTAACCTCTCCACATTAGACTCTCCCCCTACCTGCCAGTGGACCGACCATAAAGTGGGTATAACCATACAACAAGTAAGTGGCCAAGGACTCTGTCTTGGAGCAGTCCCTGTGTATGAAAGACATCTATGTTCAACCATTCTCAACAATGTCTCCTCAGACACGAATAATAAGTGGGTGCTGCCCCCTTATGGTGGTTTGTGGATTTGCTCACAAATTGGACTTACTTCATGTCTTCCCTTTTTATTCTTTAATGGAGCCCAAGAATATTGTGTCTTAATTGTAGTTCTTCCTCGAATCATATAGCACCCTGAGGAAGTCATGTTCCTACTCTGGAATTCGCTTGAGTCACTTCACTCCAGTCACTTCTGGGAAGACCCCAGAACTAAACACCAAAACATAGAATCAAGTGATTTTTTTTTTTATTTTTTTTCTTTATGGAGAGGTTTTTGCTATAGGACACGTGTACTCACCAGAAAGACAGAGAGAGACAGAGAGAGAAAGCAAGAAATCACTACCCTGAGGTGATTGCCACGCTGCAATCCCTCCTCTTCCATTCTCCTCTTGGGATTTTGGGCACGCACACAAACGTGCCTTGCATGAGTTTAAGCCACGGGTTCCAGGACTCAAACCACCATATGGGAGTCCAACGACATAGTCATTACGCCATCTGCTGGTCCCCAGTCAACTAATTTTTAATAAAGGGTACTATTTCAATCCATTGAGAAAAGAAAAACCACTTTAGCAAATGGTGCTGGATGAGTCTGAACCCCTACTTCTCACCATTAACTAAAATCAACTCAAAGTTAGTCAAAGATCTAAACCCAAGACCTCAAGCTATAATATTACTGGTAGTAATATTATACACTGGAGGAACTCTGGAAGACATTTGAGTAGGCAAATACTTCAAAGACCATCAAAGCCCAGGCAATAATCTCAAAAATAAACAGGTAGGATTACATCAGTTTAAGAAGTTTCTGTATGGCAAACTCTATGGTAATTGGTGTGAATCAACAACCCTAAGAATGGGAGAATATTTTTGTAAAATATGCCTCAGATAAGGGACTGATACCAGAAAATACACAGAACTCAGGAGGCTTATCAAAAAAATGCATTAAACCAATTAAAAGATGAGAAAAGGAGCTGAATAAACAACTCTCTTAGGAAGACATATGAAGAGCCAAAAAGCATATGAAAAAAATGCTCAATATTCCTCATCATAAGGGAGATAGAGATCAAACCCACAATGAGATATCACCCCATCCCAGTCAGAACGGTGAAGGTTAAAGAAATATATATGATAAATGTTGGTGGGGATATGGTGAAAAAGGAACACTCCTACACTGTTCGTATGGACGTAAATTTGTTCAGCCACTGTGAAGAACAATATGGAAGTTTCTAAAAAATTTTCATATAAAACTATGATATCTAGCAATTCCACTCCTGAGTATCTACTGAAGGGATAGAATGCTCAGTCAGAATAGTGCTTGCACATTTTTGTTATTGCAGTATTATTCACAATTGCCAAGACTTGGTACCAACCTAAATATCCACAAACAGATGAATGAATTGAAAAAGATTGAGACATATACTCTATGGAATACTACTCAGCCATAAAAAAATAAGACCCTGGAATTTGATAAAAAGTGAATAAATATGGAAGATTTACTGATGAGTGAAGTAAGCCAAGCTATAAAAAAGACATTGTATGTCTCCACTTAACATATACCGTTCTCTCTTCTGTTCTGTTTTTCATGCTTTGTGCATTAGATTCAGTAGGAATTGAGAAATATTCTCTCCTTAATGGAATTCAGATATTTGGATACTCTTCACTTGGTCCTGTCTAGACACTCAGTGCATGAAGTCTGAACACCTTAGTAATAAAAGATAAAAAGGGAAATAATTAGAGAAGAGAAAAGAAGAAAAAGTAAAATGAAAAAAGAAGAAATAAAAAAGATAATGATAAAACTTTATATTTTAATTTGAGAAAGCAAAACATGAAAACCACATGGCACACGTGAAAACAATATTCCATAGCTCAAGTTCAGTAGCCATCTCAGGATGGGCCGGGGTTTGTGCCTTTCCTAAACAGGATGGGGAAAAGTATAAATTAGCACTAGAAGGAAGGGGCTTGAGAGCCCCAGAGAATACTTTACCATAAAAAAAATTTTTTAATTAAAAGACACAGAAACACTCGCAGAGACAGAGAGAGTCAAAGAGACTGAGAAGATACAGAAGTAGCCCTAACCACTAGAAATAAACCTGGAGGGAGAAGTCTCAGTGGAAAGTATTCATTTTTAGTCAATGAAAACAATATTGCACGGCTCAAGTTCAGTAGCCATCTCAGTGCTAGTGTTTTTTTCTGAGGGCTTTTCTATCCTATGGATAAATACCTAATAGTGAAATGACTGTGGTAATTCTATTTGAAAGTCTCTGAGGAATTACTATGCTATTCTCTAAAGTTGTACTAATTTACAAACAAGCATGTTGTAAAGGTATATAGGGATTAAATGTTAAAAAAAAAAAAGATTAAACACCATAACATAGTACGCATTATTCTAGGGATACAAGAGTGTGTTTATACATACACAAAGTAATAAATGTATTTTTTTTTGAAGAGGTTTTCGCTATAGGACACGTGCGCTCGCCAGACAGACAGAGAGAGACAGAGAGACAGAAAACGAGAAATTCCCCCCCATGGGGGATGGTCACGCTGAAATCCCTTCTCCTCCATTCTCTTCTCGGGATCTTGGGCACGCATGCACATGTGCCTAGCGTGAGTTTTAAGCCACCGGGTCCGAGACGCGAACCGTAGTCAACTACATGGGAGTCCAGTGACATAGCCATTACGCTAACTGTTGGTTCCCAGTAATAAATGTATTAAATCATATTAACAGAATAAAAGATAAACAACATATGATTATATCAATTGATGCAGAAAAAGCACTTGATGAAATACCACATCCTTTCATGATTAATACTCAGCACAAGGAACATATCTCAAGATAATAAAAGCCATACATAAAAAACCCATACATAATATCATACTAAAGGGAAAAAACTGAAAGCTATTCCACTAAAAACTGTAATATAACACAGGTTATTGTTTTCTCCACTTCTTTTTTAAAAAAATTATTTTACTTAAATTTATTCATTTATTTACTTATTTTAATTTGACCATAGAGGGACAGAGCAGGAAAGAGAGAGAGAAAGTCATAAGACAAGCCATCAGGTCCAGGATTTGAACTGTGATTGGCCATGTGGGAGTCCAATGCCCTTAACCACATGTGACCTGCTGGCCTCTCTCCACTTCTTTTCAATATAGGACTTGAGGTGCTAGCCAGTTCAATCAGAAAAAGAGAACAAAATAAAAGGCATTCAAGCAGGAAAATAAATGAAGTTATCTCTATTTGCACATGACATAATTATTTGCATATAATACCCAAACGAACGCACCAAAACCCCTGAAGTGATAAAAGAATACAGTAAAGTAATAGGCCGTAACATCGGCATATGAAAATCTGTAGTATTTCTATACAGGAAAAATGAATGGACTGAATTGGTATTGAATAAAACAGTCTCATTCACAATAGCCACAAAAATATTTATAAAAGATGTAGAAATAAACCTAACCAAAGAAATAAAAGGCATGTGCAAGGAAAACTATAAAAAGAAAATATAAAAAAATAGAAAATGACACAAAAATTAGAACATCCCATGCTCCTGGATTGGAAGAAATAATATCATTTAAATGTCAGTTCTTCTCATTTTAATCTACCAATTTAATGGAATTAAAATCAAATTCCAGGGGCCAGCAGGTGGCGTGGTGGCTAAGAGCACTGGACTCCCACATGGCTGACTGCAGTTTGAATCCCAGACCTGGCAGCTTGCTTTCTCACTTTCCTTCTCTCTCTCACTCTATCTCTCTCTGGTCAAATTGAAATGGATAAATAAATAAAGTTAAAATAATTCTTTAAAAAAATCAAATTCCAGAAGTATTTTTCATGGAATAAGAAAAAAATTATAAAATTTACCTGGAATTATAAAATATTTTGTATCATCAAAGCAATTCTGAGCAAAATTAATAAAGTAGGAGACATCTTACTTCCTAATACCAAAATATATCATAAAGCTGTGATATTCAAAACAACATGGTACTGGCACAAAAACAGGCATGTAAATAAATGAAACAGTATTGAGCACTCAGAAACAACCTTCAAAACATACAGTCAACTGATTTTCTACAAAGGCACAAGGCAACCAGTGGGGAAAAGAATCTCTTTTCAGCAAACTATGCTGTAAAAACTGGATATCTTTTACAGAAAAATAAAAACTGTACTCCTGTGTCTCACCATTAACAAAAATTATTCAAAATGGAGCAAAGAGCTAAACATAAAACCACAAACTATAAACTACTAGTAGAAAACACAGGATAAACTTTTGGAGATACCAGAGTAGGCAAAGACTTCTTTTTTTTCCTGCAGTTTCTTTTTTCTTTCTAAAAATTATTTTAATTTATTTCATACATTTAATCCCTGTGCATTGCCACGGCTTATAATATGAATTTTACAAGATGAATACACTGCACACCAGTCCAGTTAAAGATATCATAAATGTTATTATCTCCATTTCTGTGTCCCTTAGATGCCTTGCCTTTTTATTTTTCTTCTTAATTCAAAGAATTCTTAGGACTCATAAAGCACAGTTAATAATCCCAAAAAGAGATGAGTGGAATCACATCAAATTTAAAAGCTTATGCACAGAAACAAACAAACAAGTAAACATAGCAAAACAAAACAAACAAAATGAGTGAAAAGATAACCCTCTTAATTTGAAAATATATTTGCAAACTATGCTTCAGTAAAGGGATTTATAAACAGAATATACAGGAAACTTAATCAGATAACCAGAAAAAAAAAGAATCCAATTAAAATATGTTCAAATAAGCTGAACACACAACTTCCAAGGGTAGATGTATGAACAGCCAAAAACATATGAAATAAATGCTCAAATTCTCAATCTCTCAACATAAAGAAGGTGCAAATCAAAACCACGATGAGATACCACTTAACCTC